GACGCTCTTGAGCTAGCACATAGCTAGCCTTACCACCACATATGAAGTGCCTGGGCTGGGTGCAGCAAGAGAGGGCTGAGGAACACCACTGCACCCCTTAACCCAGCTGCTGGCATTGGTGATCTGTTGGGGACCGGGAAGGCACCAGCCCCACCTTTGCAGCCAGAGCCACGCTGTGCTCAGCGGTGAATGCCCTCCTGGTGTGGAGCCAAGTGCCACGGCAATGCAGTGGCCTTGCACTCCTGCTCCAGTGATGGTGGTAAAGGACTGATATTCTGCCTGATTCTGGGGTTTGCTGAGGGATGCCAGAGCTGCAGGAGAGTTCAGGGGGCTCTCACTTCAAACCGGCCCCCAGCATCCTCAGATGACAGGCGGGACCGAGACCACAGACTTGCCTCCGTGACTGGACAGCTGGTACAGCTCCTGCTGCAGACCCACAGTGTTCACCTTGCAGGGTCCACTTCTTGCTCCCCTCATCTTTCCTCCAGTATGCCTCGATGGCCACGTGGGATTTCAGCATGTGTGGTGTGAGCCACAGCCCCTGCAGTGGGGCCAGGCTTCCCGAGAGCCTTTTGAGCAGCGCCAGCACGGCAGCACTGTGGGGACTGGAAAAGCCGGCTTCCCCTTGCCAAGCCTGGGCAGGACGGGCAGATGTGAACCTGTCCCAGAGTGGGCAGCTCGCCAAGCCCCCGCAGAGCCGTAGGCAAACTTGGATGGGGGTTTTTGGCTGGGGATCTTATCCCACAGGTCGATGCACCGTGTTTCTATCTGCAGTGGGATGCTTCCCAGCTCTGCCTGGCAAGTACGCACCTGACTCGTATTTTGGAGTGTGTGCTGCCCCAACATGCACAAGGAGAGGCAGACACCTGGATTCCACAAGGAGCCCAGACCAACAGCAAGCGAACCTCAGGGAGCTCCCAGGCCAAGGATGGCAGCAGCGGCACCAGGGGAGCTGGGGCTGAGGACAAGTGGCCAAGGAGGAAACAAGATAGGCCAGAGCCACAGCAGCACTGACCAGTTTAGAGGACTGAAGGTATCCCAGATCTGCCAGACCTGGGTTTAAACCCCCACCAGCCCTCCGCACCCCTTGGCCACTACACCCCAAATCTGTTCTGCTGCTCCTGGCTGTCAGTGGTCCCAGGTCTTTCTGCTAGGGACGTGGCAGAGCTGCCTGTACACGACCCAAGCCGCCCTGCCTGTCAGCAAGGAGAAAGGACTGATCCTGCCCACACGGCCTCCAGGCGGCAGGTTTATCCCCTCGGAAGCTGGCACTGGGATGTCTCCCTATAAAGGGGTTCATCAGCTCCACTAGCAACAGCATGGGTGTGGGATTATCCCAAAGGACTTTCTTGTGTTAAACTTAGGAACCCGGAAGGTTTTTCTAGGAATCTACCGGAACTTCTTTAAATTGTGCTTTTATGGCATCACATTAAAACCACTTTTGAAGATATCTTTGACAATGTTCTTCAAGTGATCTAAATCACCCATTCGTGACACTGGGTCACAGGAGGGGCATGGCCAGCCCGGGGTACACCCTGTCCCCCACACCACAGACACCCACCAGGCGAGAA